GTGAATCTGGACTATGTTTTATCCCTTTACTGGCTGAACGATCGGTTGGGCAGCTCTGCCTGCACTTGCAGTTGTCTGCTTGAGGTGTCCAGGATCGATGATAACTCAGACAATGCCACAGTGAAGAAATATTTTTGATCTTTTGTCTTGTGTGCAGCACCAACCCATTGCTGGAAGGGTACGCTGCAGCCAGCTGATGCATCCAAGGTACCTGCCAGAGGAGCTGTTCCCACAACGTGAGTCATAGTGTGAACCACTGTGCTCTTTCCCTTATGCAAATACTAGCACATTTATCTTTTCTCTTGCCCTTTCTCTCCCACCACTTCTGTTATGATGCCAAAAAAGTAGAATCATAAAAAAAGGGTGGGAATCTGCTGAAAAATACCCATCACTATTGGACTTTGCTGCAACATGTGGAGCCTGCACAGGGACCTCACCGTTGCTTCACCTCCTTCTGCCTTCTGTCACTTCTTTGCAGCCGACAGAGCTGACACGAGCAGACCTGCCTCTGCTGAACCGGCTGCCACCTCTACTGTCAGCACTGAGTCAGCGCTTACATTTCTCCAGCTGTCCCAGCAGCAGCTGGGTTATTTCCAGGGCACTGAGTTCCTGCCCTCAATAAACGAATTTGCCCCTGGGGGAATGTTTTTCCTGGGAGAAAGGGAAAGCAGAAAGAAACATCGAGAGAGCAGGGTAAGGCATAGTGGTTTTCTAGCCGGGGGAGTTTTGTGAGGCGCTCCTGAGGCCAGGAGCTCCTCTGTGGACTTTCAGCTGCAGCAGGTCCCAGGGAGGAGCTCACTTGATGAGGACCTGGTGATGAGGAGACACCTCACAACAGTGTCCCTCCAACAAGCAAACTCAGCAAGGGTTAAGGTGAGATTCAGATGTGCTCATCCTCCTTGCAGAGCTCAATCACATCCACTCATCACTCCTTGCCATCCAATCACACATCTCCATCATGAAGCAGCAAGAAGGAGAAAACCACCTTGTTTGTTTTCCCCCTTGTCTTTTTTTTCTTTTTAAATGACTGCCACAAAAGCTAGTTGAAATGCTGAGGAGCAGTTGCACTATTAGAAATTATTTTTACCTCATTATAAAAATTGATCCTTTTTGAAATGAGAGAGGCAGAATGGAAATTAGAGACACTAGTGCTTCGCTGAGTATTACTTAGTACCTGGGGATTATCACATTGATAAAAATATGTACAGACTCACTTTTCAGGTTTAAAAGTGTTCTGTCCTTTTGTTTGCTTAGCTAAATAAAGAGGTTTTGGTTGACCTGTGATTTTGAATCCAGCTGGCTTTTTAATATACAGTGACTCATACAAAGCAGCCTGCAGAGTCAGTCTCATTTCCACTGTTCTACCACTGATTTAGGTAGAAGCTCCACAGAAAATCCAGCAGTGTGGGGTGCTTTCAGCCCAGCTCCCAATCAGGCCTTCCTTATCAGAGCTATGCCCTTTTTTCTGTAATTGCTCCTCCTGAAACAAGGGAGCTAATCCCAGTGACAGGTACTTCATGCAAGCCACATTGCCGGGATTTGGTCTTGCAAGGCACTGCAAGTCCTGTAACTTTCAAGGCGAAGACTTTCAAAGCTGGTAATAACTAATGGAAACATTAGTTTCCAATGAAAATTGGAGCTGAGGCCAAGGACTGCCTGCCTTAAAAAGGTAGTTTTTTGTAATGAGATACTGCTGTTATTGTGACTGATGTGGAATAGAGCACCACTGGTTTCAGTGGGAACAAACTGGGAGCTATTTAGACCAGGTCTGATACTATTTCACCCCAGAATAAGGCAAAGAATTTTTAAGAGTGGTAAAGCAGGAAATCTCATTTCCAGTTCCAGTAAAAGCTACAGAGAATATACCATTACCAAATGTTAGGCCTGATACTTGCACCTAACTCAGTGTGTGTTTTCTCCCCTCATAGCGTTGATGTGAGAACATAAAAACAAATCTGCAGGGACAAGGAAAGATCTGTGCTCACGAACAGTAATGGCAATTGCCATTGCAGTTCTGGTCTCTATGCAGACAAAGTTGCCCCTTGACTCTTGGAACTAGAAGATCAGACACAGTCCCTCTTAATCAGACACATGGTTGTCCCCTGAGGTGGCTTCCTGTCGTGGCTGTGTGAGGGTCACAGCCATGCCCTGCTCAGGGACTGGAAATGGGGACTCTGGGAATTTTTGTCACCCCAAATCATTTCATGACCAAGGTAAAAGTGCCATCATCTGACAACCGGAGGAGTCTGTGGGTCCAGATACTGCAAATGTAACACCATTTTCTCAAATACATCTCTGCTGTTGTAACAAAAAACTCAGCAAGGAAAATACAGGCATCGTGCTATACACAGTTCCTGCATTTCCTCCATCAGGAAGTGCAGCTTTTCTTTTTCTAAAGTGAAATGTTGTTTGGGGAGAGAAGAGATTATGTAGTCTGCTCTTTGTTATTCTGCTCAGACATTCCTGGAGATCCAGACTCACTTTAAAAATTAAAAGCTATATTTTACTTCAAGTTGGTTGATGTCAATTCCATTGTCAGGGCTAAACAAAACCCATCAAAATACTCTCTCCTCTTTTGCCTTAGTTTTTCTGAGAAATTATGAGTCAGCAAATCTTTCTGAAGGTGGTATATAGAAAAAGCTCTCTCATTTGTATTGTCCTAGGAAAATGAATGGCCAAGATCACTGTAATACAAGTTTGTTTCTTAGAAGAGAGGAATGCTTCGGGAAATACTTTAAAAGTGTCACATGTTTAAAAGGAGGGATCCAGCTTTATTTTGTAGTGACAGTAAATCATTGGGGAAAGTGGTTAACTGAATATGTGATCATGTAACAGAAAATAGGAAGAGGAACTCGCTCAAGTCCTTTCCATTCATCGAATAAGTGTTTTATTACTGAAGTAGGATTCTATTCAACTAAGTTTTCCTTATCTAATTTTTATACAGGTTGTCACTGCGTAACGAATCCATGGTGAAAATCCCCAATGCTCAGTGCCTGAAAGAGTTAAAAGATGGAGGTTGCATTAGGGGTGGTCTGTAGCAGATTCTGCCTAACTTCAAGGACTAAAAGTAAGGGTAAGAAGTTTCTCTTAGGGGATTTTAGAGCCAATGCTGGTCTTCAGAGCCTGCACAGGGCTCCCAGAAGCCTGTTCAGGTCCCACTCAGCATCTCATAGCTGGGTGCAGGGTCAGCGACGACCTGCATCTGGCAACCCTCCCCTGTGGATTTACAAAGATTTATGATCCTAAGGCCTAGCAGATGGCAAGTTTTTCAGTTTTATCAGAAAGTTTTGCAAGGTTTCACCCGTCTGGGGCACTCAATGGTCTTTTCTCTCAGCAGTTACTATTGTGGGTGATGCAGCATCTTTGCCTGAGTCTACGCAGGTGATCAGAGCAGGGCCAGGATGCCCCAGCCTGGCCTTGGTCCCTGGCTTTGCAAGGGGAAGGAAACTTAAGCATACTCTGTGCCACCCAGTTGCAGGGATAGAGAGAAGGCCTTGCCCTCTTTTATTTACTACCTTAGACGTAGCAATTGAGAAGGGGGATTAAAAAGGGGGGGGTTAGTCTTTTTTACAAGCAGTTAGAGAGTTCTTAATTTGAGCACCATTTCGACCTATAATAAAACCTGCTTTGAATTCTACTTGTAACATCACTGCAACAGTTCCCTGATGAACTGCATGCCTTAAAGTATTAATCATTTACGATGTCACATTTGTGATTATCAGAACCGACAAAAATAGTGGAACTAGCAGAGTCTTGAATACCAATTTTTCTGTTAAATTAAATCTCTTTGTATTATCAGTGAAATGACACTAGTTTGCATAATACTTGCATTCACAGCATTACTGATTCACAGCCTCTCTGAGGCTTGTTGGATCCTTGTGGTCCCAGCTACTCCAGCAGGCAGATGCTGGATGCACTGCCAGTCATAAGCTGGGAAGCACATTAGTCCAAACTTTTTATATGGTACCATGCATATATACATAATCTGTTTTAGTCCTTAAATACAAAATTGAAATGATAGCAATAAACCATAACATAACCTGGATGCAAGTGTAGCATAACTACAAATAAATAAGTAGCAACACTGCTTCTAAAATCTGCTGCAAATGTTATTGCTCTAAATAAATCAGTTGCTAGTGAATTTGAAGCTGAGTGAAGGAGTGTTCCAAACTCTGAATAACATTGACCTCCGATGGACTCTTTGAAGCCACTAAGCCATGGGATTATCAGAAAACTGTATACTGCTCCAAGACAGGCAGGAAGCAAAGATGCACTTAAATGATTTTTCTACGGCACACCGTCCAAAAAAAAAAAGGAGAGGGAGAAACAATTCAGATTCCCCTCAGAACTGCAGATGATAAAGAAAGTCAATTTATCGTGGCATTTTACAGGCTTTTAGGAAAGAAGACCGTGCCTTTTTTTTCTTTTTCCTCTTTTTTTTTTCTCTTCCAGTGTTAGATTAAAACAGGGGGAAAAAAGCCCGGTTTAGAGAATGATTTTTCCCCACAATTAGATAATTTTTAAATGGATCAGTGGATCGTAAAGGGCTAACTTATAATGTGAAAATAAAAGCTACTGGAAACCTGGTGAATAACTGTAATGAGCAGCTTATTTGATCAGGCTTTTTGTTTCTTGGGTTTCTGGAGAGAAAAAAAAAAAGGAGTTTGTTCTCTTTGTTACTCTTTGCCAGACTAAAGAAGAGAACAAACAAATAAGCAAGCAGAAGGTGCCTTTGTTGGTGCAGTATTTCATCTCTATAGTGAATGATGATCTCTTTAGGCAGAATTAGATGGGGAGCTTTCAAGTGTCTTTGTTCAACAGGCAAATTTGCCAACTCTCCTATGTCTAAAAAGCATCTAAACACACAAAGTTATATTACATTTTACATATTTTTATTTGTATACAAAATGTTATAATTTATCAATATTGTGCAGCAAGGTATTGACACACACATACATACATACACTCCCAGCCCCGTCTCCCCCCCAGACACACACACGTATAAATACAACACAAACACAACTTTCTTTCTATCTGCCCTTCCGAAAGGCAACACTGTTTTGGCAGGTGAGCAGCTAGAAATAAGGTGCTATAATTAAGCGGTACCAGACTGTCTTCACTTCACAAATGTGATGTGCAGATTTATATACAACCACATTGTTATTATTTTGATGGAACCCAAAACTCCACACCCTGAACCACTCTCAGAGATACAAATATGTATAAAGTGCTAATACTTAAGCATGTTTCCAATGATTTCACAATGTAGTTTGAAGTTTAGAACAGGCACTGTAATAGTCCACTCGGGAGATTGTCACTCTGTGCAGTGCGGCAGAGAAAAGTCACTCAGACATCGCTGGGGGACCGGGAACGAAAGGACACTTTAGTCTGAAAGCAGCCGCAGAGGAGCACCCACATGGACCTCTGGATTTCCTGGTTTCTGTAGGCATAAATGATGGGGTTGATCATGGAATTGTAGGTAGCGGGTAGAAGCGTGGCATACGTGTACACAGAAGGGTAGTCAGGATCCCCCACCACGCAGTAGATGGCAAAAGGCAGCCAGCTGGCTCCGAAAGTCCCGAGGATTATAGCCAGGGTAGCGACTCCTTTTTTGGTGGCGACATAGTGGGAAGCAGTCAGAAAGTGCTGCTGGAGAGCTATCTGGTGGGCATGCCTGCAGACGATCTTGCAGATCTCGATGTAGAGATGGAGCATGATGAGGAAAATGAGAAAGAAAGAGGCAGACAGCAGCGTCACGTTACTCTTGGTCAAGGGTCTGACGACGCTGCAGGCGGCACGGTCGTGGAGGCAGTTCCAGCCCAGGACGGGCAGCAGCCCCAGGCAGAGGGAGACCCCCCAGGCACCCGCCAGCATGGTGTGAATGCAGAGCACCGTCCTCTCCGAGTAGTAGGTGAGGGCATTGTAGAGGGAGAGGTAGCGATCGACCGTGATAGCCAGCAAGCTACTCACGGAGGCGGCGAAGGAGGCCACGAGGAAGCCCACCGTCAGCAGGCTGATCGTCTCCGAGCGGATCACGTACTGGAAAACGAAGTTGAGGATGAGGCCGAGACCGGCCAGGAGGTCAGCCGTGGCCAGGCTGCCCACCAGCACGAACATGGGGGTGCGCAGGGCGGGCGAGTAGCAGATGATGGCAACCACCAGGGCGTTCTCGCAGGCGATGGCGGTGCCGGACACGCAGAGCATCACATCCCAGGGATTCAGGGCGGCGGGCGCGGGGGGTCGCGACGAGAGCTCCAGCGAGGCGTTGCCGCCGGCCCGGCCGGCCGCCGGGGGCTGCGCGTCCGCTCGTCGTTTCAGACGCCTGCTGGCCGCGCCTCCATCGCGCCGGAGCGGCTGGGGCTCGTGCCGGGCGAGCGCGGAGCGCGGGGGCGAACCGGGCGGCGGGCTGGGGCGGCGGCCGGGCTGGCGGGGCGCTCCATGCCTGGGCGGCGGCACCGCGTCCGCCCCGTCTGTGGTGCTGAACCCGCAGAAAGTTTCCCCGCCGGCTCCGGTCGCTCCCCGCGCTCCGCCCGCTGCAGCCCCCGCCCGCGCACCACGTCAGAGGCGACGGGGAGCCGGGGGGGGCTTCTCAGGCGTAGGGGTGGGCTTGGGGAGCTCCGTGATGCCGAAAACAGGGGGCCCCCTGGAGGGTCCATTGCGCTGGCCCGGCTTCCCCCGCCCGGCTCACGGGCGGGAGGTCCTCCCGGGGCACGGGGGAGGAGCCGCTCCTCCCATGGCTGCTTCCCCCCCCGCTCGCCGTCCGCTTCTCCCGCGATGGGTGCCGTCCGTGCAGCGCTTGGCTGGAAGGGCTCTGAGCCCAGCGGGAGCTCTGTGCACCGCCGGAGGGAAACGTGTCAGGGTAGCGCTAGAAATAGCTGTGAAAAAGCCTGTTCCACAGTTACACTGTCTGAACAGTGTATACCCTGGGGTTAACAGCCTGTTCACCACCGAAAGGATGGGTCTGCGCTGTTTTCTAAGGTCTCCCAAATGATAAGGTCAAACCACAGAAGATCTAATCCCATGGGCGTAAAAGATACCAGCTCTCTTCTTGTCTCACAATTAACCAGCAGCCAGGGTGTTTCCTCTCTAAAGCACATGAATAATTGAAGCAGAATCACAGAATCCTTCGGATTGGAAAGGGCCTCTAGAGATCATCTAGTCCAATCCCCCTGCCAAAGCAGAGTCACCTAGAGCAGGTGACATAGGAACACGTCCAGGTGGGTTTTAAATGTCTCCAGAGAGGGAAATTCCACGGCCTCCTTGGGCAGCCTGTTCCAGTGCTCTGCCATCCTCAATGTAAGTAAGTTCTTCATGTTGAGGTGGAACTTCTTGTGTTTTAGTTTATGACCACTGCTCCTTGTCCTGTTGCTGGGCACACCAAAAGAGCCTGGCACCATCTTCTTGACAACTACCTTTGAGCTATTTATATGTATTGATGAGATCAAGGGATAACTGCCTCATGACCCTTGCTACCAGAACTGGTATCGAACAAATGTGTGCAGTGGGTACTTTCCCCCCTTGTAGCAATGTGGCTTTCCTAGAAGATAAGGTGCCTCCGCCCCAATCTGGGAGGGTCTGTTCATTCTGTCACTGACAATCGAAAGAATGTGGAAACAAAATACCCTCTTGGTTATGGGAACAGCATGCAAACCATTTAGAAACAACTTTGAAAAATTCATTAGAAGAAAATGTGTTTACTGTCTTCAACAGTCCAAATGAAGAAGTGTGCCATGTGCCATGGTAAAAGGTGGGCACACTCAAAGGGAATTAGAGTGTCAGCATTCATTACATCCATTACCATCGTGTCCTCCTGCTAAACACTATTATTAAGACAAGCTGCAGACACTGTATCTCCGTAAAAAAGTGAAGCCATTGCTTCCCAGGATTTCTGAAGCACAAATCTCAGAATTGCTTAATTTGAAAGGGACCATTGGAGGTCAGATCTGGGGCATCTCTCTGGTCCCACCACCTGCAACCATGCAAAGGTTTTCCTCAGGGTTTCGTTCAGTCAAGTCTGAATATTCCCACGGAAGGAGATTTTACATCCTCTCTGGGAAACCTGTGCCCATGCTTTGCCCTCAGCTATAAAGATTTTTCTTTTTTATTTAGTAATTACCTTCGCTGCAACTTGTGCCTGCAGGCCCTGTGTGGTGTCCCAGTGTCTGTATGTTTTCCCATGTCTTTCCAGGCATTACAACAGCATTAGTAACTGCAATTAGGAAAAGCAGTTTCAAGCAGGTTTAAGAAGGGCTTGTAAGTCTACATAGCTCAAGCACTTGGTCAAGTACCCCCACTACAGTTCAGAACACAGCAGTTACCATATTTCTTTTGCCAAGCAGAGAGGGGGTATAGCCAACATAAACTTGGATTAAGACTGAGAACACAAGAATCCTAGTGTGGAAACACATGCTATAGACCAAGTCAAGTGGAGGCAAGGAAAAATCCAAGGTAAAATGAAATTTTGGACTTGCACAGAGGAAATCCTCCAACCTAGCCCCAAACAGATGGTTTATTTCAACATTCATTAAAATGCCTGTGGCAGAGTAACTTATTTAAAACTTTTTCCAAAATCGATTAAAAATGGTGCCATTCAAATTTAGCAAGTCAGGTTTGCAAACATGAATGAGCTGGGCTCCACAATGAAGCTGTAAGATCTGCAGTATTTTTATGGCATCTATAAAGCACAGAGAGAAACATGTAATCAATCTACTTTTCAGTAATGAGATGTGATGTGGAAAGTCTTGGTTGTGAGTAATTTGTCACATCTGTGACCAACCTGTTACCTCTGGGAAACAAGTTTGTTGCAGGTCTTGGTTATGATAGCATGTATATCAGAAGTCAGTCTATGGATATATGGCATTTTAAATCTCTCTGTTCTTGAATACTTTTTCCTTAACTGAAAACATTAAAAGCCCATGCTTCTGAGACAGAAGTCATTTCATGTGTGGTGGAACCCTGTGAGAGTGTTAGGATCTGAAAGACATAGGAAGAGTTTTCAACCTATGAGCAGTCTAATCTCACACCCCTTACTTGTGGTATTCACTCAGTGAAAGAATTGCTCAAGCACCGTACTGTGTCTCTGAAAGGGAGATGTGTGTGTCCAGCTTGACTTTGCTCTTTGTTGTCAGGTGTTTTCTGAGTTCTTCTGGCTCTTTAGTTCCTGCATTTCTCTTGACTTTTACCTTTTCAAGAGAAGGATACTCTTACAGTCCTTGTGGGGTTCTTACTGAGCTCAGCGAGCAGTGCTGTGCATCTTCCTCATCTCCCTCACATTGCCAAGTATTGATGGGCAGGGTTATTGACCAACTCCAAGCTTATTAAAATGGTTACACCTCCTTGGGAACTGTTTATATTTCCAGAGCTGCCATTAAAGGCCTTTTATCTTCCTAGTAGAGCTTCTTGCATCAGTCATTCCAACAAAAGGTGAGCCATATGGATTGCTCTTAATTTTAACTGGCTGTGGGGAAAAAGGAGGAATCAAAGAGTAGATAAAGCTGATGCCTAAGAGTGGCTACAGTTACTGCAGCACCGTAAAGGAGCAACAGGGAGAGAAGTCTGGTCAGACCTCCTGCACTGTCATCAAGATGTTTTCATCTTGCCTTCCTAGCTGAGAGTGGATCTGCAGATCTCACAGGTGAATATAAATATAAAAAGCTATATTTTCAGCAGTGCATACCTAAGCACAGAGTATGATATGTCAGTAATTATCTTAGTGAGTTTCTGAAAATTAAGCAGCAACAAAATTAAAAAGTTACTGAAACAAATTATTTAAAAACTCTCTGCTTGACTTCTCCATCTGTTCTGAGATTTGAGCAATATTGTGGTGTAATTTTAGTATGTGATTACTTAATTTCAGTTAACTATGGATTATTTTGATAGTTGGTATTCTTTAATGATTAATAAGTAGGCTGAGTAAATGTTAAGTATTATTAAATGTGCTTTATATAGCACGAGTTGGAACCAACAAAAATTTCACTTCAAAATTTATCTTTCCAATAACACGCCAAGAATATTGAAGAGTCATTTTTCTTCTGGCAACATAAAGAAGCCTCAAAATAAAGGCTGAAAGAGGAGAAGAGACGGAGGGATAACACAGATGGTGAGCTAACCAGCACTGGCATTTCAGAGATTTCTATGCAGCTGGTGTGAAAAGATGTTTTAAACGCTAAGCAATACATTTAGGAATCTCTTCAAGTTTATAATTTTCCTGACTTGGTGAACTCAGCCTAGTTACCTAGTGACACCAATTACTAGGTTTTTACTAACAATACCCTCTGATTGATCCTTCAGATTTGGACAGGTGTCCACCTGAAAACATGCTGTATTGCAAAACTTACTGATGACATAAACCTCAGAGAGGGTCAGACACCATTTAGAATTTCAGACTCATCCTTCACAGTCTTGTTTCTCCATCACACATTGTGTTTCTCATGAGGACCTTGACTGTGCTTCTTGATGGAGCACCCAGGGTGCCATCACTCCCTTTTGCTTGGCTGCTCTGTCCCTCATGCAACTATAGTCCAGAAAACAGCCTATATGTCTGTAAAATCTATTTTACTTGCACAGTTAGGGTACATGGGACTGCATAAACTCATGAAAACAACTGTTATACTTTTTCTAGAACATGCTTGGGTTGAAAATCCTGGTTTACACTGTTGCATTCACAAAGCTGCATTTCTCCAATGGATTTTATGTGCGCTTTGGAAAGTGGTATTGTGTCTTATGTGATCTCTTAATCACTAGCAGAAAGTTCAGGGACAAATCTCATATAAGCAGGTGAAAATCTGCTTTCCATACTGTAAGAAACATTGGTCATTAGAAATGGATTCAGGCTGAATCTTAGGTTGAATCCCACAGAGTTTGAGCCCTCATTAATTTCTTTTTCAGTGAGAAGAAGATGTAAATGCAGGTATGTACAGAAAAACAGAAGCACAGCAAATACTATTTTGAGCTTGCACTTATGACTCTCAAAGGATTTTGGAAAACTTTCAAGGGAGAGTCTCCCTTTTCCTTTGTGGGGTAGCATTTCTGCTTAGCACAATCTACACATCTGCTTAGCAATCTCCACATCTGTCAGCCCACTGCCACCAGCCAACCAGGCTAAGCCAGAGGACCTGGCTTAGTTTCTGAAGGAATAATGCTGGCCAGCAACTCTTGGATGCTTAAAGAGCTGCACATGGGTTTGTATAGAATTCATTAGGAAAGGCATGGTCATCGCTTACCTTTATTGAAAAAGATAGTCACTGGTCCACTCTGTTTATTTCTAAGATTAGGGATGAATATACTGAAGCTAAATACACATATTTTGCAGCCTTTCCTTCCTTGCCCTGCTTGTTCTGTTGATGGAAAGCAAGCAGCAGCAAGAAAGGTCATTCATCATTAGATGTGTCATCGAGTGCAGTGGAACAAGATCTTTTATTGTTCTCATTCTTTCAAACTTTTCCCAAACCTTTTTGCTTAAGTTTTTAAATAGCTTCAAACTAGCCTTTAATTTGTTCCAGGGCTTTTCTGCACATCTGAGAGAGAGAATCCAGAGTTCACCTAACCAATGTCTTTTTGCAGCTTTGTAAAAAGAAACTGCAAATTTATTTCACTAAGATGTTTGTGTTTCATGTGATCCTATAAGTTGCTGAACAGTGACTACACAGGAGGGTGTAGATACATTTTTTTCATTGCAGTTAAAAGTGAGTTTGAGAACAATTTTTCCAGATACTAGAATGCAAGCTAAAAATAAATTTAATAGTGGAAAAAGCACCATGCTCATCTTCTTCTCTGAAACTGCTTTCTTAGAAATCACAAGAAGACAGCCCCATCATCACCCACGAGCAATTTCCATGTCTGCAGCACAGAACTGGCTCTGCAGGCCAGTCCATATAAGGGTTTGGGGAACTGCAGTAAGGTACGTGCTTCCCCAAAAATGGGAAAAAGTCTATTTCTAAGCTAGGAATCCCAATGCTGAGGATCCCTTGAGCAGGTAGAGCTCAGAATAGGATCCAAATGTGTAGTGGTGCATCCTGATCGCCTCCTGCCCCTCCTCCCCACCACAGACCACACTATGATTTGAGAAAATGGAATAAGCTCAGTCTTGATCTCTGTGGAGATGGCCAGAGAGATGTGCTGAGACAGCAGATCTGCACCTTTGACCAAGAAGCATCTGCCCTAGAACCCCTTCCCAAAAATTGGTTGCCATATCTTTGCTTTTAGAGACCTGAGCAGGGCTTATTCATCCTTTTTTTTTTAAATCTAGGAGAGAATATTTGGCCAGACACAGCTTTTTAGGGACTTACCTCATGACTGAACGAGTCCCTAAGGAAATGGTGGAGGAGATCTGATTTTCTGCCACCCACCTCTCACAGGAATGAATTAGCTATATGCCCTACCAAGAATGTGGGCCAACAGCTATATGGCATTAAGCAGTCACTGCATGTAAGACAGAAACATTCTCTTTGAGACAGGACCAAATCTCTATCTTCACTCACCGTATGAGGCTGTAGTCAAGCTTTCTTTCCTGTGCTTGCTCTGGTACCTCTCCACACAGTCTCAGTAAAAAATGAACTGTACTTAAGCTATCCCCTTTAGATGGTTTTCCAATTTTCTCTTAAAACAACACCCTTAAAATTGCCCGTAAACTTCAGTGCTGGAGTTTGTCTCATCTCCATAGGCAATTTCTTCTAGGGGTCAACTAAAGTCTTTAATTACAAGGAGGTAGTCAAGAAATGCTGGTTGGTCTTGAGTCACTAAACTAAAAGAAATCCCAGGCATCCGAGAAGATTGCATTCTAGTGTCATAGGTAGGATCTTT